AGATAAAAATAAGCCTTGTTCTATGGAAGTATCTTCTCCAATTTCTAGTCGGAGTGGTTATCCGGGTTGGAAGTATGGTTATAACCCGAATCTAAGTAATAAAAATCATATTAAATGTAATTATTGTGGAAAGGATACTAATGGGGGCATTTACCGGTTTACAAAACACCTTACCTGTATGACAGGGGATGTTGCCCTGTGTAAAAATATTCCTAAGGCTACTAAGGAGGAAATTATACAATATTTGAGTTTAGAGAAGCACAAAAAAAAAGATAGAGCAGCCAAGACTCCTAGGGCCTCATCTGCACTGATTGCACATACTAGTAAGAGGAAGGTAGAAGAAGAGGAGGAAGAGGCAGAGCGTTATATTGAAGAGGGAGACGACTCCTATGATGATGATGACTGAAGACTCTTGCCTCTTGGTGGTGACTGCTGAGTGTTGAGTGTTGAGTTTGTTGACTGTTGTGTTGAGTCATGAGTGTTGACTTTTGTTAAACTGTATATTTTCTAAATTTCTATATATTTCTGTTGTGTTGAGTGTTGAATTTTATATCCTACACTTGTATGGTGTTACAGTTTACTGTTTTAACAATATGGATTATCAAAATTCTCTTCTCAACTTCTATCTTTTTTTTTTTTTTTTCAACATGGAATATGGTATATTGGGACTTTTTCTTTTTTTTCAACTGGGCAGCCGCCCAGGTTCTGGGCACCCGCTTAGGCGCTAGGCGGCCTGGACCCCTCAGGCCCCCTAGGACCCGCCTAGCGCATTTTGATACACTATCAGGGCCATATACTGCCTAACCAAAGGTCAATCAAATAATACATACTCCCATTGAAGTATATAATCCACTATAGTTGTCTTTTACGTGCTCTCACGGCTGTTAAAGGCCACAAACCCCAACATCTCCCACGTGGCCTTTGAAGGCCATACAATCGTTCCCTCTCAATCTCTCTCATGCTCATCCTATGGTACATGCTTGGAAAATACATTTCTATACATCCTTTTGATAAAAGATTTGTTGACAAAGCCTCCATTGAGAGATAAGCAACCTCGATTTCTCCTGCTCGGATCTCGTTGCGAATATGGTAGTAGTCTACCTTAATATGCCTTGATTTCTTCTAATGTCGTGGCTCTTTGGTCACACTAATTGTCGCCTGGTTGTCACAAAAGATTTTTACACATGGGCACTTCACTAGATCAAATCTGAGTTGATTCAGGAACTTCTTCAACCAGAATACTTCTTTAGCTGCAAGACAACAACCCACATACTCTAACTCTATAGTCAACAGTGCAATGATGTCCTGTTTTCGTGCGCACCAGGAAACAACTTCACTAGCAAGCGTGAAGACATACCCATATGTGGATTTCATCTCATCTGGAACACCTTGATAGTATGCATCTGCATATCCTTGTATCTGTATATCCAAGCCTCTTACATAAGTGATCCCGTGACTTACCGTTCCCCTTAAATAGAGCAAAGCTCTTTTGATTTTCTTCAAGTGCTCTATGCGTAGATTACTTTAGAACTTGTTGAAGACTCATAGCAAATGATAAGTTTGGTCTTGTCTTTGACATTGCGTACATTAGTTACCCGACTGCACTTATGTATGGGATTCTTTGCATGGCTTCTGTTTCTTCTAAAGGCATGGAACACATGGCTAGGCTTAGCTTGGTCTTCTTATTAATGGGGATTAATACGGGCCGACAATTCTCCATTTTGAATCGTTTCAAAATTTTCTTACAGTATGTCTCTTGAGATGACTGAATGGTTTTCTCTGTTCTATTTTTGGTGATCTTGATTCCCAAAACATACGATGCCTCTTCAAGATCTTTCATATATATTTATTTTAATAGGTTAACATTCCAAGATCTTTCATATTGAAATGTTGTGACCAGAAAGCTCTTGTTTCCAATACGAGAGTCATCAAACTATTCGCTATTAACATGTCATCCACATATAGGGAAATAAATATAACACTATACTCATTGACCTTGACATACATACAATAATTAAATAATTCTCTTGGTTAGGCACAAAACTAGCTTTTGACAATGTCTCCTGAAACTTAATGTACCAACCTTGATGCTTGTTCATGGCATAAATAGACTTCGTAAGTTTACACACTAGGTTTTCCTTTCCCTTTTCTATAAAGCCTTTGTTTCATGTAGCTTTTGTTTTATGTAAATTTCTTCGTCTAGCTCCCCATTTACTAATGTAGTATTAACATTCATCTGGTGGAGCTTGAAATAGAACTAGGCTACTATGGCTATTAAGATCCTAATTGAGGGGAACTTAGCTACGGGGGAGAAAGTCTCATAATAATCGATTCCTTCTTTCTATCTAGTGCACTCTTTTTGGTATTTCTTAGCCGTCAATCTTAACTGCTTCCTCGTCTCTACTCCTATTATTACTAAATTTGCATTACATATACTCTGTCTTAGTCCAGCTAAATTTTAAAACCTTAAGATTTTATAACATCCCTCTAAAGTTCTAACTTTGTGTTGATGCTGTTTCGGGTCTCATTGATCAAAACTGCATCCACGAACAACATACACCATAATACTTCATCTTGTAGGTGCCTAATTAAGTCGTTCATAACTAAGACAAAGAGGTAGTAGACCTATTGTAGTGTTTGGAGACTTTTTTCTTTTCCAACACCCACGAAATCAAATCTCAATGTAATCTATCTTGAGTTTTCATTAGATCAATAAATACCATGTGGAGGTCTTTTCCCTTCGCCCTGAACTTCTCAATCAATTGCTTAAGTAGGAAAATAACTTCATTTGTTGACCTCTATGGCATAAAACCGAATTGGTTTTCTGATAGACTCATTTCATACCTTAATAGTTACTCATTCACTCTCTCCCACAGCTTCCTAGTGTAGCTCATAAGTATGATCCCTTGATAGCTCGCACAATTCTGTATTTTTTTTTGTTCTTGTAAATAGGTACCAAAATAAGTTTCCTCCATTTATTTGGCATTTTCTTTGTTCTCAACACCTTGTTGAATAGCTTGGTTAGCCAGTCAATGCCAATTTTATTTTTAATGTTGGGAATTTAAAATTAAAAATAAAGCCCAATATTGCTTTTACCCACATCGGGAACTGATCCTCCAATCTTTGCACTCAGTGTGACTTAATGCCTCAGGGTTGTCAAATACCCCCAACTCGAAACCCCTAAACTAGATTTGAGATGTTCATATCCAGCTGATCTGAGTTTTCAAATATTTTGCTAAATAGCATTCTGAAGTTAAAAAATTCACAAAGTTGGGATTCTTAGTGGTTTCTTTGTGGAAAGTATTTCTACTATTGGATAAATAAAAAACATAGGGCCAGGGAACAAATTTCAAACATGAACGAGTTAGGGTTGCAAAGAAATCGCTAGTTTCGAACTTTGGCTTCGAAATCAAGTCTCTCATATCCAAGGTTTTTTATTCTCTCTCAAATCTGATCACTTCAATAGCTAGAGGATGCAAATTCAAGCTTAAATCTCAAAATTGGGTGCAAATGGGAGCTTAGTTTGAGAAAATTGGACTAAAAGGGGTTTCAGTTTTCCTACCCTCGTCTGAAGTTGGCGAGTGTGTCATGAACTTACCGAGTTTGGCATCATGCCATGCCATGTTACTGTTACTCTACGGTATCCTCCCTGAGTGAGTAGAGGGGGTTTTGGGCTGGGCAAACTGCTTGGGCTGAGCCTGAGTCACTTGGGCGACTCTAGTCGGACTCGTGAAATTTTGCACACTGCCTGTGATTTAGCAGTTTTTTTCTTTTAATAGAGTGATATTTTTTTAATCAAGTAGAATATATTTCTTATCATACATATATAGTTGTAATCAATGTTTAAAACTCAGCTAGTGCGACTTGGACACACCAGAGTCACTCAGAACTGCCACCTTACCAGTTTCAGATGACGCTAACTTAGGTAACCAGAGTTGTGACCAGTCTGCGTGGGCCTTCATGGATTCTTTCCTGGTCTCTTAAAAACAGTGATTTCCGGTCTGCATCTTGGCCTGTTGGACCTGGGACTCGACAAGTCAAGTCATCACAGACCTCCCATTGTCCGGTTCCATGCACAGTCCTGTGTTTGTAATTGTAATAGATGGTTTGGTTTAAATGATAAAAGTAGAATTAAAAGAACTCTTAAAATGTATAAAAGCAGGGTCCTATTTGAAGCCACAGTCCATTATGTTGCAAATACTTCTCTAGCATGGGAAGCTTTACCAACAACAGTCATGTACTCCAACTCTCTCTGTGATGATTTCTTGAACCATGACAGGGTTAATCTTGTCATTCACTTTTAGTTCCTTTAAAACTGGCAAAACTTTCTCAGGGATTTGGAGATATTGAGGATGAAGCCCAAATTTTACTTTCCATGAGTAGAGGGACAATTCCTTTAATGGACTCATGTGATACATTTGCAAGAGTAGATACAAAGTACTCATTATCCTTGTACACATGGAAAGAATAAACTAATAAAACTACAAAGGTATGCTGCATGTACATCATCAGATTTTGTGATTTTACATGTGTTAAAAATATCTGCCATGGATACATACCTACTAGGCTTTGAAATTATGAAAATAATCCCATTATTAGATTATGAATATTATGAGTTTTTGTTTACTGAATTTCATATCATGATAGAACCTAATGCAAACTGCCACACCTAGCTTGCCCAGCAAAGGATTCGATTACGTGATTATCTAAATGAAAACTTTGGGGAGTCAGTAAATATTGCTCCAACAATTAACCAAATATGATTTTCAGACATTAACGCATAAAATGTCCTCGAAAATGTTTCGAGCTACATAGTAATTTAATATTGGAGTGCTTATTTGAAAATTATTACCACAAATATTGATTTGTTGCTTGTATGAAACCCTTGTATTGCTACTGAAGGGAATCAGTTCTTATTGAATTAGACTTCTTTGGTCTTTATGCTTTTTTTCTTGTTGTAAGCATTGCTGAACTTTGAAGGGGCACATTGGTTGTCGCAGTCTCGTAAAAGAATATGGCCCTGGTCATGATAAGAGGTTTCAATGCTCAGTTCAAATTACAATGGCGACAGGAGAGCCCTTCTGCATAATAGGAGAACCAAAACCGAAGATGAAAGATGCAGAGAACTCTGCGGCAAGTGTGATGTTAAGTTATTTGCCAGACTTTGTTGACCGAATGATGATCAGTTGAATAATTTAAAGTGTTCTCAAGCTATCACCATGATAATATATGGTTTTAATTTAAGATTCCCTTGTACATAGTGTGGGAGTGAACTTTTGCTCTTGAGGGACATAGATGTCTCGCTTTCTTGGTTTGGACAATGATAAAATCTCTCTCTCGTAATCTCTCTCTCTCTTGCTATATATATATATATATATCTCCCTCGCAATGTCTCACATCAAGCACATGAAAAGCTCATAATAATTTCACGTGTTATTTGTCTAATGGTGCTAGCACTTCGGGTGCTGTGGCCTCTTTTTTGTTGGGGAATTTGAAATTTGCATGAAAGTGGATGGCATATTTCATGCGTGTGCGTGGTGTGGATTGTGTAGTCCACAGCCTCTGAACTGGTTTATGGTAAGTACACAAACGGCGAATCCTCTATGGTTCTCAGCGCAGATGGTAAAGATCTACTGTATCTCGTGAATGTCATCAGGAAAGATGGTCAACTTAACCTCCGGTTGTCAGTGTAGATGATGGATGCTGGGCTTTGTTATGTGTAACAGACACAGACGTTTACTTTCCCTTTGGAAGATGCTGGCCTTTCTTGTTTCTCTGAAACTTGTACTGGGATACTATTTTTTCAGAGTTTGTGGTTGAGTGGTGTTTTTTGAGAATCTTGAGCATTGTTTGGATAAATCATGAGTTCTTCTTGCAAAAGGCTTTCATATGACAAAATATCAGTTGTTAATGCCCCGAATGATTATCGCATTGTTAAGAAACACACGACCTTTGTGTTGCGCAACAGAATAAATGGGTCGATAGAAAACTGGCTCAAAATGAAGGCTGATTTGCAGTGGGTTCGTGGCTGTTAAATTGTACTAAATGAGAAAAAAAGCTATAACGTTTAGGGAAAATTATGTATATATCTTATATAATTTTTGTTATTACCAAAATATCAAATAGTTTATGTTATTATTGGAATGTTCGATTGTTTCACTTCATAATAAAAATTTTAAAAATGATTTTTTTACCTTTTTTCGGTTTTCGAAGAACCTAAAATAGGTAGAAGCTAAGAATTTGCATTTTTATTTTCGGTTGTTTTGTTTTGGTTGTTGAACAACCAAAAATAGGACTGTGTATTTTAGTAAGCTTTTGGAATATGCAGTCCTATTTTCTGTTGTTCAACATCTAAAAATATCATATTTTTTTTATGTTGAACAACAAAAAATAGAACAGAAGTTTAGAATTTGCATTCTTATTTTTGGTTGTTCAACAATTGAAAATAGGATATTTTCGGATGTTGAACAATCGAAAATGAGATATTTTCAGATGTTGAACAATCGAAAATAGAACTGTGTATTTCAGAAGCTTAAACGAGCCTCGTTATTTTCGGTTGTTCAAGAACCGAAATTAGCTTATTTTTGGTTTTTGAACAACCGAAAATCTAGTCATTTCGGTTGTTCAAAAACCAAAAAAGAATAAAAAAAGGCTTTTTAAAATTTTTTTGTTATGAAGTGAAAAAAATAGATATTCCAGTAATAATGGAAAGTATTTGGTATTTTGGTAATAATGGAAACTATAAAGAATATATATGTGTAATTTTCTCTAAAGTTTATAAAAATGAGGTTTTTTTCAAAATTAAAGATTAAAAGTTCCCCTTGTTTTGCGCTTTCCGTTTTTCTAAGATTTGTGGCTTGTTACTAATTTACTAGTTTTGAGATTGTACACTATGAGACCATATCTTTACAAGGAAGTTACATTGCTCTTAACCATTAGATCTCAAATAGGGTGGCTTGAGGTATGCACATAGTTGGAAAACGTGTTTTTTGAATTTAGTCCAGTCAATGATAGAATTACAACTATGAAATTTGATGGACAAGAATGATTTTAACCTCTTTGTATTAAAAATAATGAAAAAGTTTACATAAGGTTGCAACTTGATAATGTAGAACTACATATATACCTCAAAAATCCATCAGATAAGGTAGTTTTAATGTTGAAAAACCCTTTAATTGATAATCTCAACATCGAAATGTATGACCATAAAAAATAAAAAGATTTTAAGTATCAGAAATAGTGTATTTTACAACATATTATCTATACCGGCTATTTTCAAGATTTTCATAGGTTTATAGATCTACTTGATTTTAACTATTTTTGAAATTTAAAATTTTATAATTAAATATACCAATAGATTTTGAGATAATCCTAAAAACATTTTACATCAAAATTATATACCATGATAAAATTTGAAGGTGCACCTTACTTTTACAACTACGGATGCATCGGTATGCCAACTGCACCCTAGAAATAAACGTTCTATGTGTACGTTTTCTTTCATGATTTTGGATATTATTCAGTTTACCAACGAGGTTTTGTTACAACGGGCATTCACTATATAATGGTAACGACCTGACTCCATTATATAACTGTAGTTTTCAAGTCCAATTCTCTTTATGGAGCGGTAAATAGGGTTTTTTGCCAAGTCAGGCCTTAATGAAGAAAATTGAAAAATCCAAGAAAATTGGGAAACAACAGTCCTTGTGTTTCATATATTTCCACTAAATCATTATGAAATTTGATGAAATTTTGAAAACAAAAATGCTTTCATTTATGATGTGGTATGTGGTGTAGGACAAGGAGTACTTTAGAACATCACTCTCAACATCTGAAGGGTAGATGGTGTGATCGAGCATCAATTTTTATCGGTGATGGCCCTACACTCTTTTATTATCCTAAAAGGGAGGATAGAATAATTTGGGAACGTAACCCCAAGGACAGTTTCACTGTTAAATCTTTATACGCCCTTCTCTTTATGAACAAATATGTACAAAACACGAATACTTTCAATATGAAAGTATGGAGTCGAAGATTTTTTATGGCTTTTGGAACAAGATCGAACACTTTCTATCGAACAATTAGAGAAAAAGGAGTGACCCTTACAAATGTGTGTATACTTTGCAAACAGGATGCTGAAGCCAAGTCTTACTTAATGCTGAAGCCAAGTCTTAGTTAGTTTGTACATGCCCCTATGTTTGTGTACTTTGCAAACAGGATGATGAAACCAATTCTCACCTAATTTTTATATGCCCTTATATATCTATGGGAATGGAGCAAAAATTTGTCTTCTTGGAACTGAATTGTTAATGATAGGATTCAAGATTTCTTCTAGCATAACCCGAATCCACCATTCCCAAAAGATTTGCAGACAAAGCAAAGGATATTGGGCAGATAATTTACTCTATCATTGTACATGTGGTGCCATGGGCAATATCTCTGCCTAAATTCAGGGACATTCCAAAAGAGTTATTTTTTAACAATTATCGAGACCTACTTTTCAGGAGAAATATTAAAGCAGTAAAGAACTCGCTTTGTTCCCCCACCCCCCCCCCCTCAAATTGGGTGGTACAAGCTCAACTTTAATAGAAGCCTTAAGGGTGAGGCTCAAAAGGCAGGCTATAGAGGTTTGTTGAGATATAGCAAGGGAACATAATATTGGACGTACAATGGGACTCTACAGCTGTGCAACATTAATGAAGTTGAGCTTTGGGCCTTAGAAAGAGGGGTATCAAGCTTACATTAGACTAGAGGTGCACGTTATAGTGGAAGGTGATTCGGTTAATGTAATTGTATGGTGCAAGGAACCCTCAGCTATCGAGCTCTTTTGATGGACCAAGTAACTCTGTATCTTGAAGGAATGGTGGTAAGATTCCAGTATGTAAACCATGAAAGATGCAATGACGCAAATGCTCTAGCGAAGGAGGCCACACATAATGGAGGGATGCAAGGAAACTAGAAATGCCTCTTTTCTTTCTCCCCCCTCTACTTTCTGCTTCGCCTTTTTCTGTTCTTCCTTCTTTTTTCTTCTCCTCCTTTTCGTTTCTCTTTTTTATTGTTATCTATGTTATTTTGTATTGTCTTTCATTCTCTTGGTAAAAATATAACTAACATTAAAAAAAAAAAAGATGAAAATTTGAAAACTATACTAAAGGTTTTTGTTTGTCGAAGCACTGCATCACCATTGCACAGTCCAAAATGGATTACATAATAATATTGAGTTCCATAGGGGCAATTAAATTTTAAAAATCATAAATACATGTAAAATGACACATTTTGAAGCCAATTTGAATGATGAGGAGGCTCAATGTCATCTCAAGCTCCATAAGCGCAATAAGTGTCATCCTGTTTGTATACTTACCCGTTTATAAATGAGTATGTTGGTTGGAGAACTTGGTAGCCCTTTGTAACTCAAGGTTCTCAAGGTTCACCCCTTCTAGTCACACCCCCATGCTATTGCTCATGCTTGGTCTCAGGTACTCTTATGTCATCACCAACATTTATATTTGTGGCCTTATCGATGTCATCATCGTTGTCAAGAGATCTTCCCATCCTCCATCTCCTTTCTCCTCCAACTTGTTCACGTCGTCCTATTTCTTTCCGTCGATTCTCATATTCTTTTTTGTTTCTTTATCAATTATTGGGCCCATCTCTTTCCAATTCTCAAAAGTGGCTCTCCAATTCCACAAATTATCTCTTAGGTGGTTCCTCCATAAATATAATCCAAGCTGTTTCGATCATATTCAATACTTCCCTTCATTTGCCACTTTTGGAGGTATAAATTTAAGAGATGGTATACAAATAGATTATTTACTTTTTGTACAAAGAAGTCAAAATTATTTTTGTCTCGTAGATTTCAAGATGGGTGGTTATAAGAGTGTTATGAGCCTACCAGGTTGATTGACTTCACCATATGAAGTTGTTATTTCCATTGAATCTCTTAATGTCATACTTGACGCTTTAGCCCTTTCTTGTCATTGTGGTAGCAAACCCCAGAACGCGGAATAACCTGATAGGCTCAAATACCAATGGTGAGAATCTTCTCTCTATATCTACAGGTAAGAATCAATTTACTGATTCTTGGATTTTAGATTCTGGATGTTCTTTTTATATGTGCCCAAAAAGAAACTGATTCGAAACCTACAAGTCATATAATGGTTGGTTTGTTCTAATGGGGAATGATGCGGTATGCAAGACCATTGGAATATGAACTATCAAAATCAATATGTTTCATGTGATAGTACGAATCTCATTAGATGTGATGCATGTCCCACAATTAAAGAAAAACTTAATATCTTTGGGGGCCTTTGACTCGAATGGTTGCAAGTATACAGCAATAGGTGGAGTCCTCAAGGTTAGTAAGTGATCTGTGGTTGTCATGAAATGTCAGATGGCTAGGAACCTATACAGGTTGATAGGGAATACAGTTACAGG